GAACTACTACTGCACTCATAGCTGCCTTGGGGCAGACGGAGGGAAGTGAAGAAACCGACCACCAACACGCATACACCACTTTCATGCTAGACACTACGGGTAAAGTTGCCTAAGGACATAATGACAGTTTTTGCCACAGGGGCTCCGCACTGTGACGCCTGGTATTCCCAGTGGTCTCAAATCCATGTGCTAACCAGGCCCAGCCCTGCTTAGCTTCTGAGATCTGACAAGATCAGACTTTGACAAGGAGATTTTGGCCAGGAGAGTCCAATATATTTCTAGGCTGTCCTTGGTTTGTAAAGTTTGTGAATCGGTGCTCTGATTTGGTGTTGTTTGTGTCCTCATTTATTCCCAGATCACTTTCTCAAATCCCTGTTGTCATTTTTCTTTCCCGCAGCAGCCCTGTATTGCACTTGGCCTTGCTTTGGTCCAACCTCAGTCTGCAGTCTGTAAGTGACATGAACTTTAAGTGACTGACTCTCAACCTCCCACTTCCTGTGTCCAAGTGAACTATACTTCTGGTGATGTTATGCCCTGTGGTTTCCTCCAACTCTGATGCCTGATTTGATTTTTTTTATTTAATAACAACACTGATCTTGCGGCAAGCAGTAAGTGGTTTATAATTAAGCGTGAGGGATGAGGGAGACTCTGCAAAGATAGAACTAATTAATTAGACGATGGTGACTGACACTCACAAACGGCGTTTATCCCACTTTGAGTTGAAAGTATGTTGTTTCTGACTTGTTGTGCAGTTTGTAATGTTGTTTTGCTAAAATGAGCTTCACTGTTTGCAGTGCACAACAAGAACACGAGAAGAACAACTCTAATCCATGAAGTCATAGCACAACACAGCCCCGGGCCTGCTCTATTTACAATGAATGAGACACTGCCTGGATTTGTTTGTCTGGATTCTTACATTCAAACGGCACTAAGAACCAGTCACTTTAAACATGACTAAATCCTTGCTTGTTCACAGAAATTTGGCTTTTATAGTCTTACAGAAAATCCTCTTCAGTCTAATCTCTATGTAGCTTCACGAAGAAAAGACTAGCGCACATTCAATTTACATAAACTGTGGTAATTTCTCCCCGACAACTGCTCCTGTGATTGGGAAGGAATTGACGTAAGCAGTTTTCATTTTAGAGAAAATTAAATTATAAGTGAAAATTATGTTGAAAATATATTTATAAAAGTGGTTGGAAAGGATGCTGGCCCAGATTGGCAGCCATGCTTTTCTTATCACTAGAGATTATAAGGAGGGAATGAACAATGCAATCTAAGGCGTCATTGTTAGAGTTTTAGAATGGTTAAATTATAGGTTTGCTAAGTAACATTTATGTTGACGGTCCGCTGACTGCTATTCTCCATGGAGAGGTTATAGATTTGCCTGAAATGTCTCATAGTATGGCATTAAACAATCTCAATGGAGAATAACAAGTTGGAGGTGCAGATAGCCGATATAAAAGCTGACATATTGTATACTATGTGTATGTATATATATATGTATATATTGTATACTATGTGTATATATATATATATATATATATATATATATATATATATATATATATATATATATATATATATATATATATTATGTACATATAGTGATTAAAAATTCACTGTAAATCTTCAATTGATTATAAAACTTAGGTCTGCCTCTACTGGTTTTTAAACTGGGTTTGTATAGGCTACTTGTTGTTCTGCCTCTTTACAGTCATGTTTAAAGACAAAAGGTCAGCCTAATGGCATTTTTGCATGACATTATAGCCAGGAAAGAAAGTAAGCAAACTACCATTATTAGCCTTTAGTGGTAAATTCGTGCAGGTTGCAGTAATTAATTATATGTGTAAATGCAGATCATTCACACAATGATTCATAGCTCATTTACATATCAGTGCAGTACTTTACACCAGGCCTATGTAAGACAAAGCAGGCTGTTTATGTGTGTTAGCTACTATAGCTAAGCGCTAAACAATGAGAAAGAATGAAAAGTAGCTTCAAAAATGACAAATCTGCAACACTCACCACTCACATGGGCTCCTCTTAGATCACAAGTCTTCACAAATAAGTTTGATAAAAACTAACAGTAGTTTTGCTGCTGGCCTAACCTGCGCTGAAGTTCACTTTTATTTATAGTGAGTGTCATGGACCAGACACAGACTCAGATCAGCCTCAGTGTTGTTGCACATGAAGAACCATGTGTAAACAAGTACACTTGAGTGACGTAATTTTGGGGGTGCGTTCAGGGGCAGTATGGCATCATGCACACAGACAAATTACTCCGCAGATAAATATTGATGCAGCGTCACATATTATGAAATTTGTCTGTCTGTAAATTGGATTACATTGACATCATATAGAGTCTACGCTTTATAATGAAGTATCACATGCTCATATGTATTATCAGCCCAGATTGGCAAGATCTAGGCAGGTAGCCGATATGTCTCCAAGTGCCCATAACAGCCGATAATATTAGCCAACCGATCGGGCCCTACTAACAAGTCAACCACCAGATGAAGTCACACTAATAGAAAACACCAGTAGCTGAATAAATGCAAAACAGATATTGATTGATGCCATACTATGGAACATTTCAGCAAAGCAAAAACATCTCCGTGGAGACAAGCAGTGGTTTAAATTTGTGCAACTGGCAATAAAAGTTGATGTTTACTGTGGTTGTCTCAAAACATTTTCTTGCATCTAACGGCGATAGGCTTCGGTTTTGCATTCTCTGGAGGCCCCACTTTCATTCTTCTCCACAAAGCACCCAACTGCCCCACAGAGACAAGCAGAGACGGACTCATGAGTCACGTATCAGTCTGACTGCACCCAAAGTTTTCACAAAGCCGCAGCTCCAGATCCACTGACAATTGTAACACAAATTAGAAGATTTTCTCTCCACTCAGTTTCTCCTTATCTGTAGCACATTCCTCTGTTGTCGGGAAACTGAGCCAATCCTTTTTAAAGAGCACTGAAAAGTCACAAAGTAACTTCACACAAAAAATGTTTATGTTTTTTTTTAAATATCTCTTTGGTAGAGATTACACCTTGTCCTTTGCAAAGATAACATTTATTTTGCATGTTAACTAATGTATGATTAATCCTGGGCAGATAAGACTATAAGAGTTACAAAACAATATTATAGATTATTTGATTTACCTTAGGTCAATTAGGGATTATCCTGTCCAGTTTTTTCAAAAAAGTGTTTTCTTGGACCAGTAACAGTAGTTATTCTAGAGCAGGCATGTCCAAAATGCAGCCTGGGAGCTAAATGCTGTCCAGCTGAATAGGCCCATATAACCTTAAACAGAACTTTTTAATGTAAATTTTTGAAACTCTACCTTATTAAAGCAACTGACAAATCTTCATTGTGTTCTGTTGAAGATCTAAGCATGAATAAAGGTCTAGTCGTCAGTCATTCTAACCTATTACGAGCTGTTGGGCAAGTTACTTTAAAGCTGAAATGCATTATTTATTATTTATTACTATCATTTCAAAGTAATTTGTGAAACAGTGAAGATGCTGAACTTTTGCGCTATAATATATGCACTGAACCAGGACTAAATCAGGACTAAACCAAAACTGAACCAGAACTGATCCAGGACTAAATCAGGTCTAAACTAGGTCTAAACAAGGACTAAACCAGGTCTAAACAAGGACTAAACCAGGACTAAACCAGGTCTAATCTTGGACTAGAACTTGGAATCTAGGACCACCCCTGAGAGAACGCAGAGCCTCTGGAACACGGTTTCTGAAAGGCGCAATCGGGCGTCAGCTGCAATTAGCCCCGTGGAGTGCAGAGTTCTGCGCCGGATCTTTCATCCACAGTAACCTGACAGTCCATGTGGCACGTCTCCGGCGTTTCACCGCTGCTGATATCGCAGTGATTTTTGTGAATTTGTATGAAGAAAAATCCACCACTTCAATCCAGGTTAAAAAAGCAATGTAAAGCGTGTTACTGACATTTGTACCAAGTAAAATATTACAATTTTTTCCCTGTAATGCCTTACATTACTGCGTTACAGCAAAAAGCAATGCATTACAGTAATTCGTTACTTTTATAATGCGTTACTCCCAACACTGATTATGAATGCAGATATTTGATTTTGGGAAAAAGTTTGCACCACAATGTTCTAGAGACAGTAGTGGAAGAAGTACAAATTTTTGCTACTTAAGTAAAAGTACAGATAATGGAGCAAAAACTACTGAAGTAAAAGTAAAAGTATCGCATGAAAAATCTACCTAAGTATTAAAGTACCCATTTAAAATTGTACTTAAAAAGTGAAAAGTAAAAGTATTTTTGTGCAGATATTGCAGATATTGAGGTCTTATAAGACAAACATTTGCATGGAGTGATTTTGATACAGATTTGTGCTGAAATAATTTCATTGATCTTTTTTTTTTTTTTTTTTTTTGTAGATTTTTCTTTCCTCAAATTATCGAAGTGTTAAAAGTGTCAGAAGGCGTAAACTATCATAAAAAATACTTTTCAGTCCTGTTCAAAATGTAGTGGAGGAGAAAGTGCAGATACCTGCTCTAAAATGTAGTAAAAGTAAAAAGTATTCACTTCAAAATCTACTTAAGTATAGATACCTAAAATGTATACCAGTACTTTACTACTTTTACTTTGTTACATTCTGGCAGTGCTTTGAGGTAACATATTAAGTGGTCTTTGACACTGAAGTAGTAACAGTAAGTACTTTGTATGGCAAATTTTACACTGAACAAAGTCTGCATACATTTACATTGTGTTTCATTCTACTTGCAATCTTTCTTTATACTCTTTCGCTTAGCTGGAATTTGCTTTTTTTTTTTATCTCTGACATTTTGATTAAATTGTATGACCTCACCCGCTATAAATGTCCAAACACACTCCTCTCGTGAAATGTCACTGCTGATTCGGCCCTTATTTCCCCTGTATTTTCCTGACATATGGCTGTATATAATTTGTGTTTAGTGTATCTTCTGGTGTGTGTGCATCTTTGTGAATGCCGTACCTTCTCTTCGTGCCCCATATGCTCAGTCTTAACATCGCTCAGTGTTTTCCAGTTCATTTTTGCTCCGCTGCCCACCAACCTCGCCTCTGTCAGGGATTGGCTGTCGGCCGCGTGGCCTTCTCGGTCAAACCTGGAGGGGGCAGCATTAGCAAACCCGTCACGTAAAGCTGCAAATAAATATATGCTCCAACACACACGTCTGACAAAAAGACATACATGAGAAAGATACATTATTTATAAGAGAGGAGGATGCAGAGAAAGGGAAGAAAAGGATGTTTTGATCAGTGGGATGAGAAAGACACAGGCCGTGCTTCAATGTGTAACTAATGATCCCTGGATACGGAGACGATTAAACTAAAAGAAACAATCAGCTTCAGTCATGTGTGAACACGTGCAGTGGAGTAGAAAGGTGCGAGGGAAAGCTTCTGTTGAAAATAAGTAGACTTGGTTATAAAAAAAGAAAATTATAGATTTTAAAAATAACCATTTTGTACTGGGTTGAGGTTAAACATATGGTCCACAAATCAGGAAATAAAAATGATTCAAGTAACTGAAGTCAATCAAGTTAAATGGCAGGGCCTTACAAAGCATGTGCGTTGAATTAACCATAAAAAGTAATATGTTAACAGTTTAAAGGTCCTATATTACACAAAATTTACTGAGCTTTAAGCCATGTTAGAATATTGTTACCTTATTAAAAACATATCTGCAGTTGTGTTTTGTTCCTGCATTATTGGACTGTCTGAATCTCCAAATCTTTACATGTTCTGTTCCATCTTGTGACGTCATGAACAGCTACCTTTTATGTTTTGTTTAGCAGAGATCGGGAATTCCAGGGATGAAATTATCCAAATGATTCTAGTGACGGTGTATGGAGTTTAAAACACACTGTGGAACACTTCCTGTACTACCACATGATATCACAAGGTGGAACATAGTGTTAACAAAGATCAGAAAATAGTGTAATATCGGCCCTTTAAAAATGACTTCAAAGAGAAAATTATCTTGATGGGAGCAGACTTGTAAAAATAAACAAATAAATAAAACAATATCTTTTTGTCTTGTCTCATTGGTTGATATTTTACTTGACTTTAAAATTCTATTCAAATCAAGACTCAAACGTAAAAACTGCTTATCACAGAAAGTCATTGTTTGAAAGTAACAAGAAAGATTTTGCTAACTTTTCCATACAATGTCCAAAATATCAGACACCCAGACTCCCTCGCTCTCTTTTCAAAATCTCTAAGACGACTTTCCATTAAAACAAGAAAATTATGCAATTTTTGAACAATCCCTTGATTAAATTTGTAACAACTATTGCACCATGTAATGAGATAAAATAACAGATATCACAAAACCCATGATCTCTATGATATGAGCCTTTTTTCCGAGATGGTAATTCTGAGCTGTATCTTTTATTATCAACAGAAACCATCTCCGGCCTCGACAAATTACTCCCTTAATCCCAGTTCTGATTAGCTGCTGAGCGTTTGTAGCTGCTAATCTTTTTGATCTGACACCGCGCTGTCCATCACGCAGAGATGTGACCACGCGTCAATCAACCTTTTACATTTTTGTCCGTACTCTGTGTCAAAAAAGATGATGAAACTCTCCTCCCTCCTCATTCTGTCTGACCTGCTCATATCTATTCATTTATCGGCCTGTTTAATATTCCCTTTAACAACTTAATGCATCAGTCTGCTCTGTATTCTGTGCGTGAATAGCAATCTAATCAAGGCATCATCTGAATTCATATTTAAATAATGCAAGAGAGTCTGGTCAAAACAATATGAGAAAGCTTCTGCCCATGCTAACAGGGTATGGATGTATTTTGTCCCACTAAAGGACAAATTGAATTGTTAAAGGTTAAATACATAATGCTATAAACCGCTATATAAACAAAAATATACATTAAAATACAGCCAGGTACACTTCACTCATGATTCTCGGCTGCCTCATCTGGGTGGCGGTCTGTGTGTCTGCATGATCTACTTGTGTCTGACTGGGTGGGTATTCCCTGGTATAATACATTTCCCAGTTTCCTAATCAATTCAAAGTAGTAAAAAGTAGTTAGTAAGATCAAAACCCAGCTCAAGCTCTAGAGATTCTGCACTGTGGTCACCCGATCCTCCTGTAAGATGGGCCAAATGTAGAGGTGCAGAAATTAGAATTAAATATAGCTTATGGGTAAAATCAACTTTTATGAGAGATTTAGCTCACTCAAAGTCGTTTTCAGTTTAATTCGTGCTTGCTTGAGTGCTCCAAAAAAGGTCAGTTTTCACCTAACCCCTATCTCTGTCCATTCCTCTGTGCTTACCTATTTAGTAAATTTGTTGTGTGTGCCGTAGTAGTCATAGCAGTAGTCGTAGCAGTAGTCGTAGTAGTAGTAGTAGTCGTTGCTGTCGTAATCGTAGTCATTGTAGTTGTCGTCGCCGTAGTAGTCGTTGTAGTAGTCATCGTAGTAGTCGCATTAGTCATCGTAGTAGTTGTAGTAGTCATCGTAGTCATAGTAGTAGTTGTAGTAGATGTCGTAATCGTAGTAGTAGTAAATGTGTCTTTGAATGAGTTTGTTGAAGTATCAGACTTTATAATTATTACCCCCAAAAGAGAAAAAATGTTTTACTTTTTACCTTTATTTCTACAGCATTTTGAGATTTTACTACACTTCAACAACACAATATTAAAATGTTGCATGTCTTCAAAACAACATCCATAATATCATAGAAAATTTAATACAATGGCCAAACCTCCCAGTATTAAAGCAGTAGCAGTAACAAGTAAATGATTTCTTCCTTAACATTTTGGGGGCCCCTTCCTTCTGCATGAGTAATAGGATTCTGAAGTTACAACACTTTTAGTACTTCTTCCACTTCTAAAAATAGACCCATAACAAAGTCTTTAATCTTGGAGAAGCACAAACGTAAATGTCCTTTGGTAAGATTCATTTGGAAGTGAAAGTGGATTGAGAAGAAGCACAGTGGGATGAGAGAAGGGCAGAGGGAAAAGAGTGTTTGGTAGTTATTTGCTCCTTTGAATGTCAGGGTGAGGTGGCGCTGTATTGACCACAGACTAAAAAGACCAAGATTAAAGCTGGAGTGATGAGGCCTGCTCCTCCCCCTTTCTCACCCTCACAATGGAACTCAAGGGGCAAAGGTGTAGTGGAAAAACGTAGCTCAGATTGGGTAACGTAACCTTAGAATAATGCAGTATTCATTATGTCCACTGAGCATGCTAGTGAAATTAAAAGCATGTTTGCAATAATAAGGTAGAGACTTACATTTTGCCTATTTCTTGTGTTGCCATCAAATAAAAGCATTTAAATGGCCCATATTACGCTATTTTCTGATCTATATTATAATGTAAAAACAAACATGGAGCTCTTTTCTCGAATGGAAAACACTCATGTCATGTGGTAATACAGGAAGTGTTCCAATGTGTTTTTAAACTCCATGTACCTTCACTAGAATCATTTGAATAATTTCAGACCTGGAATTGCCAGTCTCCACTGAACTAAAGGTAAAAGGTAGCTGTTAACTTGAAATCTACCACTACATGACATCACAAGGTAGAGAGTATTTTGAGGTTTGGAGATGCAGACAGATTAATAATAAAGGATTACTCAAACATGTATGAATGAAACAAAAAGCTCACAGAGTCAGTTTTGCAAAATATAGGCTATATTGAGGAATTACAATACAGTAAATTAACTACAATATAGTAAATTAACTATATTAGTTATCCATGTTGAAAAAAAAAAAGTTTAAATGAAGACAACTGACTATGTATTTGGAGTTAGATGGGGCATTGTATCAAATAATCAGAAGCTGTTGGGAAGACATGCAAAATTTGAATATTGTTAATATTGTTTAGAAATAAAATAAAATAAAAAATAACAACAAAAAGCTGCAAATATAGCTAATAAAAAATAACTTGGAAGTTGTAATCTTTCAAACCATAGCGTACAGAGTTATTATCTAACATCCAGCCCACCCCACTCGATTCACATGTTTTGTATGACTAAGAATAACAGAGTTTTTTACCACAGCATGAAGAAACCAATTGGAAATATGATTAACCACATGTGGCCTATTTTAGCTGCAGGAAAAAGAAAATACCCTGCAAATGTGGCCAACTCCTTTGACAAAGCTATTCAACTAACATGGTTTTCATTAGGACAAATAGTCCACTATAGAACTTTTCTGGTGGAGGTTCTGCCTCCTTCTGTGCTCCAAGGAGAGGTTAATGCCTGTATTGTTCTACAGTGTGGCATTAAACATACCTACCATTTAAACACAATGGACTCCAGGCACTCCAAAACAGTAGAAAAAGTTAACACATCGCACGAGGAAAAATATAGTTAAAAGGCCTTTATTTGAATGGCCAAAGCTGGTCCTCAACTGGTCTTCATCAGGGCTTGCTTTGCTGGCTTTGAAGTCCTGATGAAGACCAGTTAAGGTCGAAACATGTTGGCTTTGGCCATTTAAATAAAGGCCTTTTAACTATATTTTTCTTCGTGCGATGTGTTAACATTTCTACTGTTTTGGATAGGGGTGTCAAATTATCGCGTTAATTGCGATTAATTAATTACGGTCATATTTAGCGCGTTATGTTTTTTAATCGCGTTAATCTCATTTTTAATCTCTAACTTTACTGTTTCTGTATGCGAGTTGCTTTATTATAAAACCTGTTTTTATGTGTTGTTGGGACAACAACACACACACACACACACACAAAAAAAACACATTTATAATTTTTTTTATTTCGGTAATTCCACTCATTGCCGGAAACCCACACAAAACGCGCGCAGTAACAGCGATGTAAACGTCATGTTAACGTTGGCGGCATCAGTCGCACAATGGACAAGGTCGAAGAGCCAGTAGAACAGAGTCAGCAGCGCACAGGTAAAAACACATTCGTGTCTTGGAAATTATTCTCCCGACGTGAAATATAAAAGAAAATAACAAATATAATATCGCCTGAAAACAACCTGCATAGGCTCATGATGTCTGCACTACTGTCCTATAGTGACCTGCCACATGAGGGGACACGCACACAAACACACACAAACACAAACACAAATACACACAAACACAAACACACACACCTTCATCATCGTCATTAACCTGAGAACGCGCGGACCACGTTTCCTTCCGTAGACACTGCGCATCCTCCCATGAGCCGCGTGTGGATCGTGTTTTCTCGCGTACGCGACGTAAACCGCGCTTCCTCCTGTGCGCCTCTAAACCAGAACTAACACCAAGACTAAAACCAGGACTAAACCAGGACTAAACCAGAACTAAAACCAGAACGAACACCAAGACTAAAACCAGGACTAAACCAGGACTAAACCAGAACTAAAACCAGAACTAAAACCAGGTCTAAACCAGGTCTAAACCAGGACTAAACCAGAACTAAAACCAGAACTAAAACCAGAACTAAAACCAGAACTAAAACCAGGTCTAAACCAGGTCTAAAACCAGGTCTAAACCAGGTCTAAACCAGGACTAAACCAGGACTAAACCAGGACTAATACCAGGACTAAACCAGGTCTAAACCAGGACTAAACCAGAACTAACACCAGGACTAAAACCAGGATTAATCCATTCCAGGACTAAACTAGGACTAAAGTAGGTCTAAACCAGGTCTAAACCAGGACTAAAACCAATGATCTCATATATATTTCTCTATCAATAATATTTTTAATATGGTTAAGGAAAGACTGGACTTTTTATTGTCTTTAAGTAGACAAAAGTTATTATGTTCAGATTTCCTCGTCTTTGCTACTTTACAGTTTCTTATTCATGGAGACTTGGGCTCAACAGCCAAATTGGAGAGATTTGTTAAACAATAAATGACTTTATAAAGTCACTTTTTTAAATCTATATTAGTCTTCTGATCTGCCACAATAATGTAATAATGAATTTAAATGAAAATACCTCAAATTGAAGGCTTTTCTCAGCAATTTTTAGGTGAGATTAAAATGAGATTAATTAGATTAATTAATTACAGATCATAATTAATTAATCTCTCAATTTTTTTAATCGCATGACAGCACTAGTTTTGGAGTGCCTGGAGTCCGTTGTGTTTGAGTTCTGATCCTTTTTTCCAAGAGCACCCTCTACTTGCTTCTACTGATTGGAACACCTGCAGCAAACAGCCACATTTTTGTTCTTTCTGCACATACCTACCATTTACTTCATGCATGGGGTTTTATTTCCTGAAAGTACCTTAAAAATATGTGCTCTTGCTGTAAGCGGGGTTGTCTCTCCACAAATCAGACTTGTAACTTTAGGACCACGTTTTAGTCTCCATGGAGATAAACAAGTTTACTTTGGAACATTGTAGATAACTCAGTTTCTAATTGGATACAAGCAGGTCTACCTTCCACTAGGTGCACATTTACTTCAAATGAATAGAAATCAATTATGACATTTTTGGTGTTAGCATTAGCATCGTGTACTGACAATTCTCAAAATAAGAATAACTTGCTGTGAAAGGGTCTCACAAGGCATAATTATGTACACACAGAAGCCCTGGACTCCTTCTTCACATGTGTGTCCAGACTTAGAGCATGTTTAATGAGAGGACGAGTCATGAATTACAGTTGGTGAAGATTTTCTACTAAGAGTCAGAAGTGGTTTCACGTATCACCATGTCCTCACACTTTTCCTCTTACAGTAGCAGCGCTGAGAAGCTCAAATCCAGAAATATCCTGCTTTTCCCTTATTCCCTTCATCCCCTCCTGCGTACATCCTGTCTGCAGTCCCAGTGGGATCCAGGAGGCACATGCCACCCATCTCCAGACATGTGAGCAGTGCAGCTAGGTGCTTATGCATCACCATGTGTGAGCCTGCCCTATATTCACCAAGCTCTTTGTTTACCTATTAGTGAGGTAGAGCAGGAGCTGAAAGAGGTAGCTAGTACCACCAAGGCTAAGATTGGGACTCATGTCATTTTGTTACCTACTTCATCCACATAGTTACCATCAAGTTAAATTACAGGTCAGATGTGTGAAGAGCTGACACCACTCACAGTATGAATGCATATTTTCTAATTATGTTTGTTTAGTTAAATGTCAAATACAATGCCATACTGTGGAACATTCCACCCAAAGCAATATATCTTCACGCAGACACCATTTATCTTTTCTGGTAGGAGGAAGATAAAGAGCTTTAAGTGATTTGATAAATACAATTTATGTCGAAATCCAATAAACAGTAAACAGGACAAATCATACATCATAAAACTAGCTAGAACAGATCACAGTCTAGTTTTCAAATAAATGTAAATGTAATGTAATATATTTTTTTCACAATTTCTTGCATTAAAATAATTAATACATCTTCTTATAGGATTCATGCCATTGTCCTCGACACTATCTCTTTATAATCTGATTTGTTGTAATCTGACTTGTCGCTCATCCTGGTTTGTTTTCATGAAGCGTGTGTTGGTGCATGACTCACCAGGCCCTTAATCTGAACGCCTCAGGAAGGTCTGGATTGACCAAGATTGTGGAGCTGAACAAAGCGGAGAGCGATCTGCCCCCAAAATCAGACAAGCGAGCCCCTTTGATGGCAACAACCGGGTGCCCAGAGCCATCAAACTTCTCAGCCTGAAGAGGGCAGGGGAATATGAGCTTAGAGAGAGAATAAAAACACAGACAGCAGTATTTTGCCCAATGAAACGTAATGTGCTCTACAGTTCGTTTGTATAATTGGACAACCTAAAAAGTTCATTTGAAAGTGACTTTTTGGATTTTGGGAAAGAAGTGAGGATTAGCTCTTGCAGATCGGATGAGCTTAGAGAAGAATAGGGCCGTTTCATGCACACTTAAAAGATCCCACGAACAGTACAACAAAACTATTCCAAAGGTCAATTTAGATTTTAGTTTTTATTTTTATTGTAAAGTAAGAATGTATGTGTCCACATTTCATATTACTATTATATATCCAATACTTGGATACATTGTAATGACCTAACTATTAAAGGTTGTATAGAGGATTTTCCAAGGAACGAGAAATCCAGCGACTGTTTGTCCTTTTTCAAATGTTGCGCATGCGTGAAACCACCCCCCCTCCCCCACAGCTCCCTACGTAGAAACGCCTCCTCCCGCCTCCTCTTTACGCCAGAAACAGGTTTGTTTACAGCCGGTGTGCTGCACATGACTTGTAAACAACTAATTACAGTGTTGGTTAGGCAAGGCGGAGAAGTGAGGAGCGGGGGGAGCGGGTGCGCGGAGATTTCGTGCGCAGACGAGAAGTGAGGAGCAGGGAGAAGAGCGGAGCAGGGAGCAGGGAGAGGAGAGAGGAGAGGGGAGCGGTGCACGGAGATTCCGTGCCCGGAGAAGTGAGGAGCAGGGGAAGAGCGGATCGGGCAGCGGGGAGAGGAGCAGGAAAGGGGTGCAGGAAAGGGGTGCAGAGAAGAGTGCGCGGAGATTCAGTGCGAATTAACTAGCTACAACACGCAGCAGCAAGCGGACTCTTTCTTTGCCTTGAAAATTATGTTTTCAGACATAGGATATCGCTTTCGTGTCCTGAAAAATGTTTGACTAGCTCTTGGAAATAAAGTACGTTTTCATAATAAGCAGAAGTGACCTGTCCAGGAGTAATTTGTGGACCAGTGCGTCAGTCTTTAGACCCTGCGTCTGCTTCAGTTGCGCCATCGCTGGAATGAATCTACAAGAATCACCTTAGTTTGGCTTCGCTGCTTTTCCCCTTGTCTTCTTCTTTCAGCGACCTCAAAAACTGACTTTCTTTTGCGGCTAACTGCTCCTGGATTCTTGTCTGCCATTGCAACAAACTTTGTGCTAACTGCGAGGAAGATATAGGTCAAAAAAGCCGCTAAGAACTGTTGCGTTGGTGGAGTAAACAGCGTCTGTGCTGCTTGCGTCTGTGGACTGCGTGACAGGCGTACGTAAACCACGTAATGGCAGCGCGCAGGCAGGTCAGTTACGCTAGAAACGTAGGGAGATTGATTGACAGCCTGTCAGCTAACAGATAACGAGGCAGTGTCGTTATCTATTGGCAAATGTTTAGCTGGCACCACCACGTCCAGAGTTGATGAATTTTTATTCTCTTTTTTTTGGTCATCATAATTACAAGGCTACTGCATCTCTATAATGCTATCATTGACAATTTGAAACAAAAAAAATCCTCCATACAACCTTTAATAAGTAGCCCCAGCTAGGTCATCTGAACAGGACTGGCATCCATAATGTCATATAGGAGTGTATGTTTTGTCTATGGCAGTGATTTTTAAACATGGTAGGACTGTGTTTGGCTGCAACCTTAAGGGCCTCATAAAAATATAATACTAATTAATTTTTAGAATGGCCCCTAGTTACTTTGTAATGTGAAAGCTTCACATAGATATCAAAAAAGTTAAGAATCCCGGGCCTGAGGACTGGGATGACTGACTGATGACTGACAAGGCAGCCTGGGAAAATCCAAGATTTGAATTTAAAACACCTAAATAACTCTCAATTCTCTCTAAATATTTTCTCATTAGATCATTGACTATGGCTTTTTAGCTGCAGGTGCCCTGACAAAAACAGTGTAATTAAAGGTGCACTACGTAACTTTTCCTGGAGGCGGTCAAACATCTGCTTATCTCTATGGGGATGTTGCTGCTTTGCCTGAAACGTTCCACAATAAACACATCTATCTAACACTTATTTGATATAATTTTATTGCTCTCTCCACAGATCTGACCTTTAACTTGGTTTTATGGCATCACCTGCTTTTTTCCATGAAGATAAACACATTTTGGCCATACTGTGGAACATTCCAGGCAAAGCTACAACAAATCTATGAATAATATAATAGCAAGTCACCAGTTGATCAGTGGTCACAGTACGTGCTATACAATGATATATACATTACTTACACTAGACAAACTTTATTGATGCACAAAGGAAATTATTTAGACATCATAATATGATATATTATTATATTATTTGAACAAAAATTAAAACAGAAGATGGCAGATTACCTCCTCTCCCCAGAGCGTCGCAGTCACCACTTTCCCACTGGTGTCCACGAGGCTGAGGGCCCTTTTGGAGACCTCCCTGCTGCTCTTAGTGGTGATCCGTGACACGTCCTCTGCGCTCTTCACCACACCGATCACATCTACGTGCAGGAGACAGTAACAGAAGAGCCCATTAACACAAAAAACAACAGTATAAATAAATAGCTCATCACTTCCCTTACTAAAATGTCCTCACATGGTGTTAAGTGTGCACACAAAACACTATACGATGTGAACAGAATGACATTAGAGGTGCCAGGTTCGTGTGTATGAGATCTGACACCTCCGACACTGCCAATTCACAGCGGACTTATCCCGTAAAGAGCTCCTCACGTTTTCACCAGAGCACACATTTACAAAGGCAAGGCAAGGCAAGTTTATTTGTATAGCACAATTCGTACACAAAGTAATTCAAAGTGCTTTACAGAATAAGAAATACATTAAAATCATAATAAAAACAAATGAAAACATAAATAATCATGAAGATTAAAATTAAAAAAGAGAGAGAGAAACAAAGCAAACACATGGGCTCACTGCACAGGCTATTCATTGATTAACAGCCAAGAAATAATATTATATATGATATGTCTCCATTATACATATGAACAAGAGATGGCAGCTTGTTGTCAAATAGGATGTGTAATTTTGTATATCGTATCCAACCAGCATACGTAAACATTCACAAGTGTCCACTACTTTGAGAGATTAAAGAAAAAAATTATTTCATTTTTAAATCTAAAATACACTGTTTTCAAATGTTCCATTTGGGTCAGTATAAAAATAAGCAACGTGTGGTGTGGTGTGATGTTTAATATTATGTCAGAAATTGAGATGAAAAAAAGAGGTTTAAGAAGTGCTATAGAATAAAATGATAATGATTAAATTCCACTCCCACAAAAGTTGAAACCTGCTTTTAAATTCCATCAATCACTCATCATTTCAGTGAAACTAGTGATATGTGGACCAAATTGAAATGCATAAAATGAATTCACTGCATGAGCTTTTTAAATATACATTTTGCTCCTGCTGTCTGCTAACCTTTCTCTAAACTCTGTGCCCCCCTGTCGCTGTCAGAGCCCTCCTTAATTCCATTATGATTGAGACGATGTCATCCACCTCTGAACTCCATTATCACGGCTGGAGCAGGCTGACAGCTCTCATTACCATGTTATAATCCCCTGTTTAACAAAAGGGAGCACGGAGAGGTAGCACAGCAATGAACGAGTCAGTGGAGGCACCACAACAGGTGGGACATGTGGCTGACTTACATTTACTCAGGTAAACTCTTTAAAACTTGGATCTTGTGCTGGGGAGATGGGGCATTCAGTTGATGTCAGTCAAAGCCATAGACCGTATATACTGCATATAAATGGATATAGCGAACCCCCAAGCTGCAGAGTTCCAAATAGGAGGCCTTCATGGGGGCGCTTCCAGCTCCACCGACTCTGGCTCCATTTGACATTGAAAAATTGTCACCCTGCTCTGTAACTGTTGCTGTGAGGCATTTTTGGCTTACAATGTTCGTATTAACCTTCTCTACATGATCCTGGTGTTTTTATTTTGCTATTTTGTCAGTAAATAAATTCATTTTCCTAATATCGAACTCCTATAACTGCTATAACAACACTATGCGTGATGTCACACTCCCTTAGTTCACTTTTTTATACAGTCTGTGGTCAAAGCCATGGAATCAAACCCATGACATTGAGTCCAGTACTGTAAATGTGCATGTGTTCTCAATCGACTCACAGGGTTGAAAAACATATTTTCCATAAGTATATATACTATTATATACTGTACCATTCAAACTAAAAGGAAATTCAAACGTAGCGTAGCATTTTGAGTATCAATTATGCCACTCTCCCAGCCCCAACTCAAACAAATCTATTCAGTGAAACCACAGCTTTGAAGACGCCGCGCTGCAGTTGTGGTACTATATATTTCCACTCCTCTTTAATCGTCCAATGTGGCTGACCTGTAAAGCAGTGACGAGGCTAATCCACAGCGGCTTATGTATATTGTACATGTTAAACACTCCCAGAGCTCCATAATGTCTGTTAATCCACTCACACCTGACAACACTGACATGCTCTAATGGATGACTGTAAACCCAGCTTTTGATAACGCTCATATTCCACCCCAACCCGGTTATGCCAAACTACTCTGCACTGGACGCTATGCTAGTTTATTTAGTTTATTTTTGATGATAGGTTACTTCACCATCAGGTTAGGGGTAGGATAAGGGTAAGGAAGAAAAATATTGCATTGATAAGAGACACAAGTAAATGTATGTGTTATATATATATATATATATATATATATATATATATATATATATTCTCAAAACCTTCAAATAAATGATGCAAGGTCTGATAAAAGAAGCAAATATCATAATCTTGTATTATGTAAAGTTATGGCTACCTTCATATTACTGCACTGCAAAGCTGTAAAAGTTGCCATATTAAAAGGTCATTAGCTTGAACCCTTGAAATGAGATAACTAAGCCACATTACGTTTTATGCATGAAGCAATTAAGAAATCTGTAAAAGGTCAACTCCGTAAAAAGCAAACTGAATGTGCTGTTGTAAGAGCTGGGATTAAAGGATTACTTACGTAAAATTTTGGTTGTTTTCGATTCTTTTTAATTACAGCAAAGAGGGATAGCGTGAAGAAAATTCCAACCACCAGGAGCCAATAAAATGAAAAATTATGGTTCTTTAGAGAGAATGTAACAAGGACATCAAAATCACCATCTTGACAATGTATCCTGTATATTTCACTATAAGGAATCTAATTATAAGAATGTGTAAAACCATTATTGATCTAATTATTCAATGGGATGGTGAAATGGTGTGCTTTCCAATATAATGTTACTTAGGAAAGCCATTTGGGGATAAGACTGGCAATGTGAAACCAATTTGTCAAAAGAAAAAACACTTTTGTATTAGTAAACACCAAAGACTTGATCCCATGGTCCAGTCAAGTTTCTGTATCTGCAGTGTTATTGACTTGGGCTGTGACATGCAATCCAGAGTTATTTTTATGTCCACATACAAAAAAGGAAGGGAAACACAATCTGCTCCTGAATCTCCATGGGAAGCGGCCGATTTGTATGAGCAAGCTTTGAAGTTTCCTTTCCATTCAGTTACTCTGACCTTGGCTCTGACCTCTATCAAATCTATTAGAAATTGCTGCGGCACTTGGTAAAAAGCAGGCAACTTTTTACTAAAAACCTCTCAGCATGTCAAGGCGCTCCAAATCGAACTGAGAGGAGAAAAATGCATTGTTATTATTTATGGATTCATTCAATTATCTCCAAAACGCTGCACTGGGGTTTGGGTGTCTATTACAGCTATTAAAGATGCATCTAAACTGGAAGTACTTTCGGCACAGAAGCCACAAGAGACAAGTCGCTGCCTAAAATCACAGAGCATGGAAGTGGTGTGTCTCGGAGCTAGTGATAATTAAACCTTTTCTTGGCTGGGTTTGGTGGAAGTGTGTAGCGCTGTGGTCCAAAAGAGTCAGACAAGGCGAGAGGGTGGAGGGTCTGGCACGGCTGCTTAGCGGACTCATGACTGGGGCAAAAGAAATGAGCTAAAGGAACTATATTGGACAAAATTGAGGTTTAAGATATGTTATAAATGTGACCTCCTCAAAAACATACTTGCAGTTGTGTTTTGTTTCATTCACACATGTTTGAGTTGCCCTTTATTATTAGTCTGTCTACATCTCCAAAGCTCAAAATGCTCTATTCCACCTTGTGATGTCATGAAGCTGTAGATATCGCGTTAACAGCTACCTTTAAGATTTTCTTTAACAGAGATTGGCAATTCTAGGGCTGAAATTATCCAAATGATTCTAGTGAAGGTGCATGGATATGTTTAAAAACACAGTGGAGCACTTCCTGTATTACCACATGACATCACAAGGTGGAAGAGAGTGTTTCTCTGTTTGAGAGAAAACATCAGCCTAAATAGTCAGGATTTGTGTGAATGAAACAAAATTATTTTCCAGATATCTATTTGATGAGGAAACAACAGTACCGTATAACAGATCAGAAAGTAGCGTAATATGGGCCCTTTAAATGTAGAAAGGTGAGCAAGCCCATTATTTGATATGTGAGGCTGTATTATTTTGATTAGTAAACTAAAAAGGGGACATGTCAAAAGTTTTTACAAATCTATATGTATTTGACCCACTCTGCACAAGACTACACCTGCAAGGTTCATGCCAAAACAATTATTTATGCAGAAAATATATTGTTGTCAAATTAACTTTTTTTGTCGAATAAATTTAGTCAACTAAAACACATTTTGGTCGACTAAACAACTAAAGACCTAAATTCCTACAGCCCTGCAGCCAGACTTTTGACTTAAATTAGCCTGAAGTACATTCAGGTTCTGCAAGTACACTGAGATTAACACCATCATAAATACAGCTCTCAACAGCCTAAGCACTTTATTAGAATAGCACATTTCATAAACAGACAGTGTCCAAAGTGCTGCACAGAGACCGCTAAAAACAATATTACCAATAAAAGAAGAAACAATAATAAATCCCCCAATTTAATCTCACTAGTTCTACAAAACCACTATAAAATTGCAATAAATAAATCAATAAAATCAATTAATACTTTTAAATTAAATTAAAAAAACACATTCCACCATTTGCAAATTCGGTAGATGATTTTAAATGGAGCAATGTTTTTCTTATGATTCTTCTAAACCTGCTCCACATGAACAGACGTGGACAGAGAACCCTGTAACTGCACATGTTCACGTCCTGCCAAAAGCCTGCATGACATTTAAGGATTCTGGACCAGAATTGTATTTACATAACTGGTCCAAATAAGTTGGCTAAGCAAAAGGTTGCACAGAGACAACATCCCATATCAAATATACAATATCCCTAAATCTTCAACAGTGTTTTATTGAAATATGAGAACACTAATGGAGAAGGGTCTTTCTGCCAAATCTTTGATTCAGTAAAGTATTTAAATTAATCAGGAAAAAGCATAGAGCTGAACAGAGCAGCAGTTTCTATTCAGTCTTTGTGAAAGGCAACGAGACATGTAATTGTCTGGAGAACACTGAACGCAATTTGCTAATTGGTCTAACAGAATATGTGTCAGGCCTGAGAAGACTGTGGTTTTACACACTTCCAGCTCAAACTGAACTCAGGAGATAAAGCTGCTGTAATGAGAATATGTCAAATCCTTCGTTTATGTTTCTGAAGACAATACAAATAACTTTTAAATGGACAAATTACAAGTATAAGCCAAGAATTAACTAAACATGACAGTAAAATCAGCCAATTATATTTTAATTGGTGGGATTGGAATAATTGTAAATAATATAGAAAAAAGTAAAAAGAAAGCAGATGCTCATTTGCTCAAAAAGGTAAAACAAAAACATACCTTTTCCACATGTCATACTAAAGATGCACTATGTAACTTTTTTGGCCGAACGTCCATAACCTGCTCGTCTCCCTGGAAATGTTATTGCTTTGCATGAAATATATTATAGTATGGCTTTAAACAAATCTATCTCCATGGAGGCAAGAAGGTGACACAAGCAGGCCAAGTTACAGGTTTGATCTGTGAAGAAGTGACCCTGCTCAAAGTAAGAATTCATATTTATCAAGGTAGTGTTTATGTATGCAGTTAATAATAAAAAAATAATAAAAAAAAATAATACTGGATCAGTTTTATATAGTGTTTTTTTTTTTTTTGTACACTCATAGATGCTTTACAGTTCATTATTCATTCACTCCACACTCAGTGATGCTAAGCTTCTACTGTATCCACAGCTGTCCTGGGGCAGACTGACGGAAGCAAAGCTACAAATCTGCACCATCGGCTCCTTCGACCACCACCATCACTCACGCACACATTTCATTCATACTAGGCAATGTGGGTGATCTGCCTTGCCTAAGGACATATCAGAGGTATTTTGCCCTTGGCGCCCCACTGTGGCACCTGATTTTCTCAGCAGTCTCCCAAGTATATCCAAGTATTAACCAGGCCTGACCTTGCTTGACTTCTGAGATCTGACGAGATCAGGCTTTGACAAGTCGGCATGGCCACGATTGGATCTATCTTAAATAAATGCAAGATAGATCCAACACATTTCCATGTAGACAAGCAGGAGGCAGACCCTCACCAGAAAAGTTGCATAGAGCACAATTTTAAATACAATTCAATTGTCTACCAAACACTTACCGAGTATTGTATCTTTTTCTCTTTGTTCCAGTTCAGAAATGGGTACAAAATTGCAGTGCACATCGGGGACGCCATCGCCATCATTGCATGGTACAATGGAGGAGTTGGCATGCAGCGTCATCTCATACTCATGGCTCAGCGTGTTGAACTGTTTATTGGCTGCCTTCAGTGTTGCCTTGGAAATGTAGTACACCTAAAAGCAAAGAGTGTGGAGAATTAACTTTATTAAATTAGACCTCATCAGAACAGTCACTTCCTGCCAACATCTTCAAATTGGAGCACTGTCTATTGATTGTGAAGAAAAGGAAATTACCAGGACAATGCGACCGCTGCTCTACGCAAACCTCATAATAGGATGGTAGAATCCTCCAGGTCTGACTAAGATGCAGTGTCATATCAGCCCTATCACTTCTCTAATTCACCAGAAAATAAGGAGCTGCTGAGAGCGCTTGGGCTAAACAGCACAATTTAAACTCAATCTGCCAGACGCACTTCTTAATTTACTCGCCCAACTCTTCACTACAACTCTCTCTCTCTTTCACCATCATTTGTTTCTGCAGAAGGGTGTTTTCACATTTCCCCATACACAGAGAGCAAAAATGTTGTTCTGTTCTAAACCTACATCAGTGCAGAGAATAAAAATAAGAACTAAACCTACAGTATATGATTTAGCTAAATTTAATGATAATGTATCTATTCAGATTATTTATTATTTATTAGCATTTATGTTGAGTTCTCAGGGAGCCCTAAGCAAAATATGTCTTGGGGGACCTTCACCACTGGACTTCCACTCAGGCTTAAAGGTCCTATATTACGCAAAATTGACTCTTGTGAGCTTCAGAGCTGGAGGAGTAAATTAAAAGTTGTGTCAGGTAGGTTATTGGAAATTGTTATGTTATTATTATTAGTGGTGTATTCATATCATCCCAAGCACTTGTCCGAGATTAGTAGTTCTTTTAATTTGGAGATGTAATTCATATTTATGGTGATAACTGGAATCACTATTGGAATTGATTTTTATTTATTTCTTTTTTATCCCAAAAGTAACTCGTAGGAAAAATAGTAACAACTTTGAACAACTTTGAACTTGTTTCCTCATCACAGACATACCTGGAGTTGTGTTTTGTTTCATTCATTCATTAAGTAATAATTTATTATTAATGTTGTCTACATCTCCAGAGCTCAAAATGGTCAGTTCCACCTTGTGATGTCATTAAGTTGTAGTTTTCAAGTTAACAGCTATTTTAAGATGGGTAATTCCAAGTCTGAAGTCAAGAACATGTGTGAATGAAAGAAAACACAACTCCAGGTATGTCTGTGATGAGGAAACAAGTTCATATATCAGTGTACACAGACAATAGGAGGGATGCAGAAAAGTGTTTTGCCCAAGGACACAACCGTAGTATTCTAAGGCTGGTCTAATCAAATCTCTATGTAATGAGGCGACAGTGTTAACTGCTTTACTGCTGTTTACTGACAGACATTAGTAAGACAAAAATAAACAATTGCAGACCATCCCCAACAGGACACTGGCAATGACTTACAATGCGAAAGATACATGCACCGTATACATGATCAGAAAATCATATGGTACAAATTCAGACTTGAGAAATGGCTAAATTGTTACTATTTTAGCTATGAGTTACTTTTGAAAAAAAAAAAAAAAAATCTATTCCTATAGCGATTCCACTTATCGCCATAAATATGAATTACATCCCCAAATTGAAAGAACTACATCTTGGACAAGTGCCTGGGATGATATGAATACACCACTAATAATAACAACATAACAATTTCCAATAACCTACCTGACACAACTCTTAATTTACTCCTCCAGCTCTGATACAAGACTTTCTCTCCATCCATTTATCATTTGTATTCTAATGCAGCTTCCCCTGTGATGCTTGAACAGATCCATAAAACAAAGCGTGATAAGCATTGTGCCAGTCCCACCCACTCAGCGCTCTGTCGATACTCGGATCATGCAGGGAGGGACAGATTGGTGGTCTTATTTATCTTGGGAGGGTAGGGGGCACAAATTGGATGTGTGGAGCTGGTGGCTGATACCTGGGCTGCTGTGGCTAGCTGAGTGATGGCCCGGGTTAATGGAGTTATTAAGCTTGTGGTAGAGCAGCAGTGTTGAGCAGCAGCTTCAACATGTGTTTCAGTGGCCTGTAATTGCTGTGCATAAACGGCCACGATCAGGGCATCTTTTATGGGTTATAGTGGCACCTGTCTCCAAATAGAACATTCAGGATTTCCCATTAATTATGTGGACCATTTGGCTGCCCACTGCCATGGCATTTCTCCATGACTTTAGCTGATTCTAACAGTGCAGTTTATTTTCAAAAACAGATTTATAAATAGATAATGGTTTTAATTTGCTCTTAGCATAGCCGTGTTTTCAGCAGCAATAAGCTGGAACTGAATTAGCTGATTAATCAAATCTACATATAATTTGCTCAAATTTAGTTTCACTGTTATAGGCATTCATATAAAATATTTTCTCTTTAACATTAAATGAAATGTAACATTTAAACGGAAACATATTTAATATTAAACAGTTAATCTTAAGTCTCAGTCACTCAGAAGTGTCGCTCTGCTTGTAGCCTCTTTCACTATCACAAATTACCTGCAAATTCAACTCATGTATGGTTACATAAGGCAATGCTGATTAATAACTGGATAAAAAGAAGAACAATGACATGCTATGGCCAAAATAGACATATCAAAAAGAAATACAATAGCTGGATGGTTTCTGTCGAACACTGTTCCCCTTCACCATATCACGACAGATAGTGTTGTAGTTAAGTTTCCATGTGCAGAGATGGTCAAAGGTCAAAGATCAGCTTATAACTCTCTGAAGGACAGAGTACAGCAGACAGTGGTCATACTGGGTTTGAACTTGTGACTCCAGATAAAAGATGGTCATATTAAGAATAATTCTGCTTTCTGAATATTTTCTGCATTCTTTTCAAACTAACAGTTTCCTCAAAAAGACAAGAATTAAAACAAAGTAATGGTGTTGTTTTGTGATGTGCACAGAACTCAGTATGTTACAGCAGAGTTCCTAGAGTGGGGCGGATATTTTTAACACAAATTATGATTTAATTTCAGTAATTCATGTGAGCTGCATTATGAGCCATTTATATTATAATGTCTGACATCCTATACAGATGATAGACTTACTGCCTACATCTACGATTTCTAAATCATGACTGGAGGTATTAATCGAGCATAATGACACAGTGCAACTTTATTTAAGTACATATGTGCTATAAAGGTAGTGGTAAAATGAGATTATTTTCATGTATATTTAAAAAACTGCAGCACAGAGCAGTTGTCTTCCTCTGGTCTACACACATTTACATTGATCCAGATCTACACAACTGCTGTGCTTGTTGCTCAACATAACACTGTATGCCTTCTCAGTAGACACATCAGTGACAGCATTTAACACTTCAGGCACTAATTTTACCCCAAAGATAACTGCTCTTACGTCTCAAGAGATTGGTGTTAAACAGTTGGTTACAAAAAAGATATCCCGATGTCTACACTATACTTCACAGTTCTATCAACACTTCGCAACAGTAGCTATCACTTTAAATTACAATGGAAAACTACACTTTACAAATAGTGGCTTTTTTCTCTCATTTGTGCAAAAATGCCTATGCAACGCTGCTGAATGGTACTTATATCACTGTTTAAGAACATAAAACTCAGACTGAACAGAGCTGAAGGCATGTATGTGGGATAGGGAAAACAGGACATTTTGGAGCAATGGTGTCTTGAATGCAGAATACATTAGCACAAATAACACTAAATGTAATAGTAAGAAGGCAAAACAATTATAACATGGTTAAAAGCTCTTAAAAGTCAATTTTGCATAAAATGTTCTTTTAAAAAAAAACAATGCCACTATTATTTTTTAAATATTCGTCTACTGGGTCCTTCAGTAACATTTGAAGGGTATATATAATTATACTCTTAACTCTGCCTGTTCTGACACCTCTGCGTGAACATCACTCCAGCTTGTTGCCTTCTCCTTCCACAGCTCCATCACATCTCCATAAACACAGACAGAACTGAACACACTGTAATACAACCGCCTAATACTTGCCTCTGGCTCTTTCTCTGACCACAACTTCTGTGCCGAGGTGGAATTTGAAATAGGTTTATTAGTCTGAATTTGTCCAATAATACATGTTTGTGCTACTATACATTGTGCATAGAAGCTCTATTTGAATTGTAAATGCCTCTGTGAATGTTATTTCTTTGCCTGAAATGTTCCAGAGTATGGCATTAAACTTATCTTTAACTTTAACTTATCTTATATTTCATATGTATTCAATTGCATGATTTTATTTGCTTGTCTACATGGAGAAAATATATGTTTAATGTCATAGATTGAAACATTCTAAGCAAAAGAACATTTCCATTGCAACATGAACCTGTGCACGAACTGGTGGAAATTAGAATCAAATCTGGCATATGACATATTATTTAAGGTGAATGTTTTTTTGCATTTTCCCTGATGAAATAAACAAATTACATTAATGGATACAGTAGGTGAAAAGTAAATATTCAGTGATGTTGCAGTTTAACAAAGACTTTGGCAGAAATCCCTGTGTGGACATGCTCACCTTGCCTTGCTCCAGTAGAGAGTAAAACTTTTCCACTTCTTTGTTGAAAGCAGTGACCTTGATTTCTCCCTGTAGATCAACACATTTCCATCAAGCAACGTTTCATTTTCAGGATTAAACTACAATCCCCCTAAGGCATTTATATTGACATATTATACTCACACTCTGGTCCACAATTTCAAATGAGAACAGCTTCCCCTCTCCTTTTGAATTGCTCCAAGTCCGTTCTTTAGACTTATTAGTGACTCGGGCTTTGATAGTCCACCTGTTACAGCAAAATAGTGCATTATCTATACATTATATTACTAACCAATAATAATGGCTTGTATTTCCCTTGCACCTTTTACATTTTTTCATTCACAACAATTTGCATAGATATACCGACTTGATGGCACTGCTGGGTTTCAATTGACATCACAGCATGACAAAAGGATGGAAATGTTGTTCCTTGGGCTATAATGTTACTCAGTATAGCATGCAATAATTTGGTTATTATTTATCTCCCTGGACAAAGTTGGGTAGTATGGTTTTTAACTTTCTATTTCCATGGAATCCTGCAGGTGACGGTTCACCTCCAGAAAGTTATATACTGTACCTTTAATACACATGTGGGCAAGCAATATTCGTATTGCTAAAATGCAGATTTATGTAGTAATACACTGAGTTCTTGGGTTGGGTTTCCCTTTTGGATATTTTCATGGCTAAGTAAAATCAATGGGGAAAATTTTTGCCTTTCCCCATCTGGGACTCTGAAATTATTATGAAGCGTTATAATAAAATGCTATACTAATTTTTAGACTACAGTTGTATTGTAAAAGTATGTGTTTTCGGCTGACTAGGCAAATTAATCAGGACTTTGAAACGCTTTTTTTACAGAGCATTTCTCAAAACACATATCAGTCAAGAGTGAAATCACTGCACCACATTATACAAGTCCACAGAAGATTGAATGATTATGTATAAGAAAAACAACTTAAAGACTAAAGTACATGTGCCAAGTTCCTGGATTTAAGTCTTTTTGTGGTCTTGAACATCAGCCAGGCACCCTAGCACTTTTTGACTGCACTGATAATTGCACAGTAGCGGCGGATAGTCACACCATAACTTCACTGACAATTAATTCCTCTATCACAGGACCAGCTGCTAGCCCTGGGTGAACCCTTTCTCTGTGTGTTATGGATAAGACCGCTACTATCAAGTTTATGGATGCCAGAAGCCATTTACAGCATGGTCTAGATGTCATTAGTTGGGCAGAAAGAATGAGAGAGCCATGCAAAACTAAATAAATGACTTCATACTGTGTTATATTGTGGTTGAGATTCTTACTACAATTGTGTAAGGGCCGCAGCAGCTAAAGACATTTATTTTACACACTGTAGGTTACTCATGAAAAGTTACAGTAGTCATTAGTCTATAACAACACCTGGAGGCATAGTTATCTTTACAGCATGCAATTTCAACAGGCTTTTGTCATTATCACAGCCCCAAACATGGAGGTCTGATGGGAACCTCAAGTCATATAAGGTAAAAAGAATGAAAAAACTGTGCTAAAATGGACCCTGGGGTAAAAACTGTAAGAGGAAAAGGAATGGGAAAAATACAAGTCAGACCAAATCCCCACCGGGCCAAATAACAGAATCAAAACCTCAGCAGCGGACCATAAAAACCCAGCGGTACCTGCCATTACAGTGTCCGTTTCTGAGGCGAGATCGCTCAGTTCATTTCCATGCAAATAGCCTGACTAACTCTCTCTCCCTTCATCTTTTTCTCCCTTTCTCAATCTCTCTCTCTCTCCCACACACCCACATGTTTCGATATAGAGAGAAGTCAGTGCAGCAGCATTCCCATACTGGGCCCAGAGTGTTTCACACAAACAGCACAAATGAAGATCAGCATGAGAGGAAGTGAACAGGAGGAGGGTAATTATTCCACCGAAAATGTGATGATGATTGTGTGGGAGCTTTATTATATGTGAAGTCCACATGCGTAAGGTACGCAAGTGGTGATTTTGTTCATGAGTCTTTTGAAAGGTGATTTGATGCTTGTCTTAGGAGAAATTCATAAGAGAAATACACATTTTAAAGCCCGCTATAGGGTTATTAACAGAAAGTTATTAAACAGTCTTACAATATATATGCAGGGAATATTTCAGGCAAATGTGGACTGTTTAATACACAGATTCATATGTTGCCTTAATGGCTGTGAGAACCGTATTATCATGAGCCTGACTAATGTCAAACTCAGGGCCTCACTGTACCAACACTGGTACAGTTGTTTGCTGTAAATAATGTGATGGAGGATGGTGATGTTTTTTATTTGTTGTGTGTGTTGTGAGTCTGCCATAAAGAACTGATGATGATGATACCACATGCTTCACAGTGGCTCAGAATTTATGCTTCACAGCAAGAAGGTTCCAGGTCTGATTCTTGGGTAGCCTGGGCCTTTCTGTGTGAAGTTTGCATGTTCTCCCCATGTCTGAGTTTCATCTGGGCACTCCAGTTTCCTCCATCAAACCAAAAAAACATGTACCAATCCGTCCAATCCTCTAGCTAAGACAGTCCTGACCAAGCCTAGCAACAAGATCTGAAGATGGGTCCCTGGATGTAGCACTGAGGGGACCACTGCTCCTAATGAGGTGCCCCAGTGGCACTGAATGGTGGGTCAAATGCAGACAGAAGTAAACTCAAATGGTGTTAATCAGATATTCACATTTGTGCTATTGAATCCCATTAAAACTCCACTATTCTAGTAGAGGTCTATCTGAGAAAACCTCTGGTCAGTGTTAATGTGTGCAGTTTGTGCTGACTTACTTGGTCTGGTATGGGTTCAGCGCTGAAATGGGGATGACTTTAGCGGGAGAGTCAGGCAAGGTGTTTGCACTCTTCATGGGGGACTTCCCTGTATAGCCTCGGCCTCTTCCTTTAGAAGGAGAGGGAGCTGTACAAAAATAAAGACATTTAAAACAACCATTACCTCAGACTGGCTAATAACCAACCTGATGAGGATTCATTCCTGCAATAAATAATTTGATAATGGAGTGAGAGCTATCTAAGAGCCACAAAAGATTGCACCACTGCTAAAGCAACAGACTTAATCAAACACAATGGGAAAAGCGCATTAGGAGCTGTTCTATTATCTGATTCAGAAGAGCTGCCAACTTGATAAAACCCTGCTAAACTTCAATTCTTCTCACTGATGTCTCTGGAGTTTTTCAGTGCTCTGCTAACAACAGTTTGTGCCAATGAATAAAAGTAATTTGTTCTGTGGTAAAACTGCCAATCAGAATTAATATCATAATTACTGTGTTTAGGCTTTTTAGTCATGGGAGAACAAACAATTAGGATCAGTTATCACTAAATCAAATTTCAAACAAAAAGTTAAGGTCTTTCAAGTGACAATCAGACTCATCAGGGTTGGAAGTTATACCTCAAGGATTTTTTTTTCTAAATTTAATTTGTGATAACTTGGTCAACTTATTTGGCACATACAGTGCTACTAGTCTATTATGTGTACAATATCAAAATTGTATATTGTAATTGTACACTGTAGACAATAAATGTTGTCAGTATGTAATTATGCAATATTACAGGCCCAGATCATTTACCTTAGAGCAATATTTTGTATAAATTCCTACTTTCAAGAAGTGGTTTACCTGCAACTGCCACAATATACCAATGTCTGAAATAAACCCAGCTCTTTGAGCCATACACTCCATCAATCTTAAGTTGGATCACTGCTTCAGTGTTCTATTGTTCAAATGGTTCCCTTTAAATAAGACAGCCACAGATGGTTTCCTGAAGAGATGGTCATTTGTTTACATTTACTTTTCATTATGTTGAAAGAACAAAGCACCTTTCCCCTGCAGAGGACAACTGATTTAACATAATTGATACTACTAGATGTCCCACCTGACATTTCCCCCATTACTCCAGGAACAAACAGTGCAAACCCTGTGTAGCAGGATTTACAACAATGATGGCTTGACAACTTATTATTATAATTACAATTAACCTTAATAAAAACTGATCCTGGCAAGAAAGTATTAACCTAACGTACCAGTTACCCACCAGATTACAAGTTCCTTCTTATTCAATAGAAAAACTTGAAAAATATGATCAACACCAGCCTACATAAACAAAGTTAAAAGAAAGCTTCCCTTTGTCAGAATGTGCCAACTCACTCCTACAGTTTAATACCATGGAATGTCCTGCTTAAACCATCTTACCTTTTGATCATCTACAACATGAGGAATGGCAATATTTTGACATAAAAAGACTAGACTCCTTAGGGACCAATCATGTGCATGTTCAGCCCACCAAAAACTCATCACTTCCATACATGGTTTAAGAACTGTGCTCGTAATGTGTGTCTGTGTAGGAAAAGTGTAAAACCCTTTGGGAAATCATAGTCTGAACAACCATTTTCAGGCGAGTGGTAATTAACATCAATATTCATACCCACACAATCCGGATGGAGTGTTAAATTGAAGAAGAGGGGAGCTAAGAAGTGTTGATGATGGCATGTGGGGGGTGGGGAGCAGATCTGGGAGAGGGCTTCATCAAAGACCCTCATTTTATGTGATTAGGATCAGACCAAGATCTGCCAATAGTAAAGATGCAGGGAAGAGCTCAGGAGTATGTGCACATCAGCAAAAACAGCTATAGACTTAAAGGGGGCAATAGACAGTGGGTAAAGTGAGTCAAGTAAAGCCAAACAGTGCAAATGATGTTGGTTATTTGACCAGAAAGAGTTTAGACATCAGCCTACAAAACTTTTCTTTCACCATAAGAATTTCAACATGCACGTCTTTGAAGGTGAGTGGGTTTGATGAGGATTTAAAATATACTTTTGGAGAGATGTAATTTAACTATGAAAAGTAAAAAATACATGAATTAACACAAAATGATAATAAATAGGTAAGAGACTAGATTTGAAAGGCATCCTGGCCAGTGGTTCTTTCAGTGAGGATTAAAAGAACTGGAATTCTAAAGTATGTTAAAATGTAAACATAATAAAACACATTGAAGTAATTGTAGCTTAAAGGGCCAGTATTATCCTATTTTCTGATCTATGTTATAATGTTGTTTCCCCATCACAACCATTCCTGGAGTTGTGTTTTGTTTCATTCATATATGTTTAACACAAAAACCCTGCATATTTAGGTGGACTTCTTTTCTCACACTGAAAGCACTCTGTTCCACCTTGTGATGTCATGAGGTAATACAGGAAGTGCTCCACCATATTTTATACACCTTCACTAAAATTATTTGGATGATTTCAGCCCTGGAACTGCCAATCTCTATTATAGTAAAGGTAAAAGTTAGCTATTAAATTGAAAACCACAGCTTCATGACATCACAAGGTGGAAGAGAGCATTTTGAGCTTTGGAGATGTAGACAGACTAATAATACCGGGCTACTCAATCATGTGTGAATGAAAAAAACACAACTCAAAGTATGCTTCTGATGAGGAAACAACAATCTAAAATGGCTCAAAGCTTACAAGAGTCAGTTTTGCATAATATAGAAGCTTTAATGCCTGCCATTTTTGTGTGTTTATGATGGGCAAGAGAGACTGAAGAGAACAGAGTTGGGGAGACTTGTGAGCCCTAAGGAAACCTGCAGAGAATGGTTAGTGATGAATAATGAATTTTTTAACTGCTCTTCGGTGAGTGCACATCTGGTTTAGGAATTTGAATATCTTCTACAAAGCTGTTTGAAGAGAGTAGATTTCCAGGGCTGCAGCTTTCAATGAATATTTAAACGCCAATGCGGTTTTACTCCTGTGTCTTGACCTTTGGCCGAATATGTTCTATGACTAGAAAGAATAATAGGCTCAGAGATGATATAGACAACGGCATTTCAAAAGTTCTCAACCAGCTTTTACTCATGTTCTTTCTCAACTATGATACCTTCATGTAAAATCATACCAACCGTTGTGCTAATTTAATAAGAGATTAACAGACTCCTTGACCTTATCAGGATCACAGACATTTTTGACCTCTATTACCACTCAAAGCATACTTCTCAAGTTTAACATGGTAACAAATGAGATTTATTTTTGACTACTTAAAGATCTGCGTCTAGATTATTTTCAGTTTAATGTATTTTATCTAGCTTGAGTGTTTCTGTGTTTAAGTGTCATAAAGAAAGCATGTCAAAGCCTGTTACTATTAAACACTTTATGTAAATTAATGTTATAGAAAAATGCTGCAACTACAGGCACAATTAAGTCAACATAACCTGTTTTCTGTCCACATACCAAAAAAGGTTGGTGGTTTGATCTCTGTTACAAGAGCTGAATACTTGTTGTGTCCTTGAGCAAGAGACTTTGTTATCTTACCATCAGACAGTTTTGGATGCAACAGTAGATCACTGCTACAGTTTTCATTTATTTGTATTGTTTGGCGAAAAATATAAAGACAGTAAAGCAATATAAGGAAGGCAATGTATTTAATTTGTTTTGATATAGTAGAGAAAAAAAATCAGTTTGCCTCAGTACAGTGTATTGAAAGCATGGTCAAAAATAAATCAGATTATTACTATCTTTAAGGATTGTGGTGAGTTTAGACCACTGGACAGTTTAAAATGAAGTAGATCTAGCTTGAAAACTGTAAAAATTGGGTATGGAGCCTTGTTATCATTATTATTAATTTAATCCAGTCACAAACCTCTGAAGAAATAAATTCTCCCTTGACCTTTAAGGACACCAAAGTCTCCCTGATCAAGCGTATTACTGCGCTTTAACATGCAGTCGCAGTTGGGACTACTTTTCTGCTGACACTGGGCTGGAGTGTTTTATAGCCGTGTCTTTGCTCTGAAGAGACGTGTTCTCACAGACGTGGCCCGGAGCCGGAGCAGAATCACTGTCTTACTCATCAGCAGGACAGATGCCTGCTTTCACTGCACCTCCGATACACTGCCTCTGGTGAACGAGAGCTCCCTTTCTAGTCATTGCATCACCCTCCTCTCGTTGGAAACCCTCCATTTGTAGCGTTTAGCCATCTCACAAGCACACCGAGATTTATCGACTAACCTAAAAAAGCAATTAACTACAGGGAAGTAATCAGGCACTTCTTCACTGCACAGTGTAGCAGAAAGAAACCACTCCAGATTTGAATGCATAGGCTGCAGAGATGAATTCAGGTCTATTTTATCAACAGCACAATTAAGCGAAGCAGCGGGTTTGGTGTTTCATCGGACTCTCTGAGGTAACATGGATCAAGAATATAACGAGCACAGAGTCCCAACTACTTAACACACACAGTAGGATGTGCTGAGTCAAATTAGTCAGGTCTCCCAAGTTCCCTCTTCGCTACGAGGGGATGTGGTCCGCAATATTCATGAGGCCGTGAACTAGAGACCCCCCCCCAGCCCACGCACACTCTTTCAGTCATTTTAGACGCACACCCACACAAACACACAAACACACAATATACAGCCAGCGCTCATTATCCACCCACACGCAGACAACCTCCACTTAAAGCACTGTTGGGTATGTTTCTGCCACACAGCAAAATCAATGTCAGTGCTGGGGGCAGTATCTGGTATGAAACTACAGTGAAACAAACATACTGCTAATAAAAGAAGAGCTGAAAGGAGAGCTACTTTAGTCATGATACACGGCACGGCACCAAGCCAACACCTGCCAGAGCGCGTCTACTTTCTTAAAAATAAAAATGTGCTGAAACATTGAGGAGAGAGAGTTATAGACTCTAGTAGTGGCAGTAGCCAGTAGGCACAAGCCCAGCTCCTCCACAGTAAATATGATAAAAGTGCACAATGTGATATGAAACAAGGCAGGAGGACAAGTCTAGTCCATTCATTTAAAATTTCCTGTGGCTACCTTCATCTGCTCTGAAAACCAACCAGTGCCTCCATCCTCCAGTTTCATCTGTTTTTTTGCCAACTCTCTAGCCTTTGAATAAGTGCGACGAATATCAAAGCTCACCAGGATTTAACTGAGTTCGCGCTGCAGTCGAGGAAATTAGACTTAAAAGTGAACAACTATTACTTTATAATCTGCTACATTAGAAAAGAAATCCAGTATAAAAAAGACTAGGAATGTTTAAACAGGAATGATTTCCTACAAGGATCCATGGCACCCTCTATTGGCGGAAGAAAGTACCCAATTCAGATCACGAAGTAAATCTGATTCATGACCTGATTCATAATATAATTGCTCCTGTTCAAATCAAATAAAAAATTAATAAACAAATAAAGTTAAATTTTGTGAAGTGCGTAAAAAGGATTTTTAGTTAAAATGCCAAATAGACTGATACATTTTGATGTAGATGGTATGAAAACAAACTCTTGGTCTGAAAAAAGAACCTAATAACATAAATTATCGGAAGACAAAATGAACCACATTGAACTATTAAATGGAAGTTATTAAATGTTTGTCTTCAAGTTCAGGAAATTAATATTGAAAGCTATTGCAATTCTTCATATTCTTCTTTAATATGAAAGATTAAATAATATTTATCATTGTGATTGATAAATGTGACTTTTTGTCACATTTCCCAGCTGTATGTGGTTCTACTGTAAAACCTCAAAGAGAAATAAACTGACACTCACTGTAAGGTCCAGGTCTTGCTTTCGATGTTGAAGGAGGAGTACTTGGGATAAACTTCTGTGGTGACGGGGTTTTATCTGTAAAGTAAAATGTAAAGATATGGTTCTTCAAAGCTGGAAATATGTTTAGATGAAGATGGTTGTAGTTCCAATTTTAAAAATATTGAATAAATCTGATTGACATTTACTATTGCTCTTGAAGTTGAATTTTGTATGTTCTGAAGTAGATGTGGAGGGAGGGGTACTTGAGAGATGCTTCTGTGGTGATGTTTTATCTACAATTTTAAAATGAATACAGCTCCAATTACATGTAGGAAATGAATTCAATTCAGGATAAATCACACAAATCTTTAGTTAGAAAAAAAAATTATGGTGCTTCACTCACTGCTCTTTGGGCTGAAGGAGTTGCTTTCCTCAACCTCAGATGCCGAGGGAGGGGTACCAGAAGCTGCCCCCTCTTGTGAAGAGGTTAGATCTGTACTATTTGAATTGTACAGAACAGGATTTCCAATCTTCTCTCCAACTTCCTCAGCTGACTTGAGAACTTCAATGTCAACTATACTAATCACAAGTCTTCCAAAAGTAAAAGATATTGTTAGTGCGCAACTTCATATACTCCATAGGAAGATATGGACAAAGGAAATAAACATACCTTCCATCTTTTAAAGAATTGACAACAACTTTTTTCAACAGACATACACAGTATGGTTCCAGTTGATTCTCATCAAAAAGATGGTTTAGCTGTGTCGCAAGTAGGAAGGCTGCGAAAACAAACACAAATAATAATTTTGTCAAAGTTACCATCTAAAGGTCTAGAAAAAGTGACTTACATGCTGAACTGTGTACCCCATCACTCATAATAAGTCGAATCCTTGGCAAGTCATTTCCAATCTTTTTGGAGTTCTACAATGCAAATATACAAAAGGCAATGTTACTGTTTGTAAACACTGGAAAAGAACGTTTTTGGTATTCAGTATTGCAACCCACAAAAATGAAATTATGGATTAATATGAACAATCAGACAGGTACTTTGCTAGAATTATTTCTCGACTGTGACTTGTTGCAGTCTGATATCATTCAAAGACTGGGCGGTATGTATAAATGAAGTGAAAATCAAATATTTGCTGTATATATTATGATTTTAAATGTACTTGTATATCTGTAGAAAGTAAAATTACTTACCAACAGCTGGAGCACTGTATTAGAAATTGGTGTGCCTTTGAACAGGGCCTAAATAAAAAAAATATCTGTGAGTAGTCCATAGATCCATGGTTTAGACCTGTCAAATATCATCAATCACAAACTGCCCATGCAATTTTTAATGTGGAGTCTGCGCATACACCGCGGTAAATCGTAAGTCTTGTTTATTTGCGTAATTAGAAAATAAACTTAAATTTAAAAGTGGTAATTAACGAAAGGTAGTGAATTGTGCAGCTGTTATTATCAGTCTCGGGAGACTATGCTAGCAGTGAGAGCTAGGAAAGATAGCTTGTTTTCCTTTTTATCTCTTCGTTTTGTATTTTAAAAGGCAGATGAATTAAAATAAACAATGTCTTTCTCACTTCGATTGCCCCTTCTGTGAGTCTCACAGTCATACTGTCCTGAGAAAAGTTACTCTGAAGAAAATAAGACGTGTCGTTTTTAGCTTTTCTTGTCTTAAGTTAAAGGGACTGCGAGTATCGCGAGAAAAAGGGTGATTTCCGTAATGACAAAATGAAACTAGAAGATAGCGGATATAACACAAAATTGTAATCAAAGTAAAAGTCGACAATCACAATTATAGCGGTTTTGACACAATTTTTGTCGTAATTTTAATTTAATTTTAAATTATTATAGTAGTTACAAGTAAACTCTACAGTAATTAAAATAAATCACTTGCCAAATTCTTAAAACGTAAACCGTGTAATGCTTTTATTCTTAGTAGTAGTCGGAAGTGGCGATGCAGTGATTGTTAACTTATGAGAGAAGTTGACGCGTGGTGCAACTAAACCCAAAACAAACTGCAAACTGCTTTATTTGATCGGTTTTCGGGATTAAGTGAGTTTTAGAATGGACCTGCCGTGTCCTCAGTGGCAGGAGCACGTTGCGGAGAAATGGGCTGCACTCGATTCTGACCAAAGGGAGAGCTTTACATCACATGTGCAAATAGATGATGTTTTTAAATTTGCCCAAAGTCTGATAACGTGAGTATCCCACGTGCATCGCCCTAACAAGTCTTATCAGTACCCTAAGCATCTTTTTTATCTTCTTTTGTGACTAAGAACTGCATATTTTCTTTTCCAGACAAGATGATCTGGACTTTCTTCAAAGCCTTTCTGCAGAAAAAAATATTAAGAGTGAAGATCAAGCTTCCAAAAGTAGAGAGAGGGGAAACTCAAGCTTTAAAACCAGAGACTACACCTCAGCTGCATTGCACTATTCACAGGTATGAAATAGTAATTGGAAGCTATAATTTACTATAACGTCATTATTTATTTAATACTTACATTATAACAAAAAGCAAAACAAGTGTATTTGTGCTGTGGTCAGGACTATTACTTTGTACTAAGTAAGCACTTATTATAGAATATAGTCATAGTAAATATGATAAATATGATGAGTAAATATGATAATATAAGTTAATATGACCTCTGACCTCTGTGTCCACTACTATTAGGTTAATACTTTACTTGACTGAAAGTTCTTTGGAATCACTCTTGACTCTTCTACACACTCTTTGGAATATTAAATAAATACATTATATAATTGACTAAAGTCAGTATTACAATAACAAAAACTTGTTTGCTTCTTTTTGCTCATGATATTAAAAATAAAAATGGTTACATTTGGCTCCATTGTGTAGGACCACACGAGAGATTACCTTTTTTGTTCCTCTAGTTGCCCAAAAGCTCTGTACTGAACCACAGTAAAATCTACTGTGTCCTTAAAGTTGCATGAGCTCCTCTGCAAAGGTTAAACTCACACTGATTCCAAATGCATTTGGGGATTTATTTACAGTTTGTGCTAAATGTCGGTCTCTTCCCAGACCTAATTAATGTGCATACACATGGAGCTCCTGTGTCTCCTGTCATGACAGGGTTTATGCCTCGCTCCCCGAAGTTCACAGCAGCTGTCTCTGTGCTATGCCAACCGCTCCGCCGCCCTGTGCCATCTGCAGCTCTATCAGGTTAGTTCATGCCATTTCAGCTGTTAAATATTGATACAAAATATATAATTGTCACTTATGCTATGATAATTAAATGCTTGCAATTTCAAGTTGTAATACAGTGATTCCCAAACTGAAATATAAGTACGACAGGTGGCTCGTGGGACCTATTTTCAGCACTGAGGTAAAATAACTTTTGCTTTTTTGTGGTCAGATGACTAAAGGTGCATACACTTGAACATACACTACATCAAAATTAGGACTAATCTCAAAACTAAACATGGATTAGACCTTGACTAGAAAAGGATCAAACCAAGGACTAAACTGGCCTCAAACATGGATCAAATCTGGAAGTGTGAACGCACTCTGCCCACACAGTCCTTTGCAGTTTATTCCTGCTGTTGCTATGCTTTTGCTAGTTTGGCTAAATTGAGTTTAATATTGTTAAGCATGAGGATAATTTTGGAATAATGTCTTATGCTGCTTATTATGTCAAAATAAATATAGTATAACTTGATGGGTTTTTTGTTGTTGTTTTGTTTAGTTTAGTTTAGTTGTGTTCACTTTTTTAGAGATTATGTTGCTTATTTGCAAAGCCTCAAGCAACAAGAAATAGTAAACAGAGTAATTCAAATATTTAAATTTTTTCGACTTTGAGCTTGTGCCCATTCAGGGCACATTAACTTATAAATAATATATTATTTACATATATGTGTGTGTAAAATATACATGAATACATTAGGAGCTATGTGGTCAGAGCCACTTCAAGTCCTTATTCAGTTAAACTTTAAATCAACTGTACTAGTCCTAGTTTAGTTAATTGAAATATAGTGTACAGACATTTGGAAAATACGATGATGACAAATTAGTTTCATCTGTTTCCACAGCTCAACAATATGCTTGTCAAGCTATTATCCCTGACAATGAAGGATCTCAATGGTCCTTCGAGACTGCAGAACTGTTTATCACCACTTGGTTGGCTGGGCTCATCTTGCTCTTGTTTTGAGCCTTATTACCAGCCTCGCCTGTGCAATTACTTTCTTTGACTCTACAAGAAAGCAACATTATGTCTCACTTGTATGCGTTCATTGCTACTTGTTCAGCCCACGGTGATTTCAGCAAAAGAAATTCAAGCTGTAGGGGATAAATAGGAAGTCTATGTCTTGTTTCAAGGTCTAATTACCTCAATGATTCACATCCAGCTTTGAGACACTAGTTAGGAGACTTATGTATAGCCTATTATGTCTGCTGTTCAGTGTATTGTCTGACTCTAACTAACGAGCATTGCGGTCAATATAAAACAAAATACCGTACCAATTCATTATCATACAGACAATGTAGCAGACAGGAGGATTAGGCTAATGAGGTCAATAGAAAAACTTTAACCCCTGAGTTAAATAATATCTAGTGTAGGTCTAACTAATGTAAATCTAATATTTCAAGATGGAAGTAGCATCTTCACAGAGGAGATACTGTAATTTTTGCAGTTCCTTCAACATATTTATTACATTGACATATGCCTTTATTCTGTCTTAAATCATTTCAAAGACTTTGTACGATATTACGATTATTATCTACTTTTTAAGCTGCCAGACAAACAAGCAATCTGTTATTTTTTATGCTAATGTTGTGTTTTAATTCTATACTTATTCAAACTGTAATTGCAGGCTTTGCATCAGCGCATATCTTTGACTATAGCCTATGACTCGCTTACTGTCACAGCTCAGTACACGTTTTCCATCATCTGATTCTGTCTTTGTTTTAGGAAAGTCTGTTTGACATTGACATGGCCTTGAAGAGCGGCTACCCCTCTCATCTCTCACACAAACTACAGGACCGCCGTGCTCTGTGTCTGCGCCACCTCTCCACGGATCAGGAGGCAAAAGCCCTTCATCCCTCAGAGAATCATAATGCAGCAGACGGGGCTGGGAGACAAGCGGGGGAACATTTCAGTTTAGGGATTTGTCCTCGGGCAGCTGTGGATTTCAGCCTGGAGAAAGGGCGACACATGGTGGCCAAAGACAGAATTGCACCCGGGGATGTCGTGCTTACCGACAGGCCATACAGCTTGGTTCTTATCCCAGGGTTGAATGAGAAGGAGAAGAAGGGAGAGTTATTTGGGACAGAGCATAGATTTTGTCATAGGTGCCTGGCTAAGACATTATGCTTGATACCATGTGAATATTGTAGTTATAGTCGATATTGCTCACAGGCTTGTCAGAAAGAGGCCTGGTTGGAGCATCACCAGTGGGAGTGTCATCTTGGATCAGATCTTGTCTTGATGGGTGTGATGGCGCAGCTCGCTGTGAGGGTGACACTAAAAGCCGGCATTAAAAACATCCAAATGGCAAGACATCTGAACAAACTCAAGGAGCCCGACAGCGATTGTGTCGGGGCCAACAATTACTGTCATGCAAATGTGGCAGATCGTTCACATGGCGATGACTCATACCTCAGTGTTTTCCACTTAATGCACCACTTGAGTCACCACAGCGCAGGGCTCCGCTTTCTGGCTGCTGTTACCGTGGCAACGCTTTACCTAAAGCTCAGTGCTAGGACAGGACCTCCGCTATCAGGTTCACAGGACCTTAGGAGACCCTTCTGGGAGACGGGCCAATCAGAGGAAAGATCAGGAGAAAAGCGGGAAGAAGCAGAGGACTCAGAGTGCGGCCCAGAGCTATGGCTGATGGGAAGTGCGGCCCTCAGGCACTTGTTGCAGTTGAGGTGTAACGCCCAGGCTATAACAGTGCTCCAGGACACAGGTTTGAGTTATTTTAGGCTTGCTGTTCTTTGCAACTTAGTGGGGTGTGATGAACATAATTTCATGAAAAGATTGTTATTACAGAAATTAAGTTTAATTTAAGTTTACCTACTATAGAGCTAATAGGTAAAGCATTAGACACTTTCTCAGGGTAATAATTACAAGACTGCATGCAATTGAAGTAATGCCATAAATAGCATATTACTCATAACACATTATGCTACTCAGTAGGCAGGACAAACCAATTATTCAAAACAAGTACTGATATCCACCTGTAGTCTTTATTGGTCTTAACTTGGTTCTGCTACAAGTAGGTTCTGATTATATGCCGTTGAAATACTGTATGTGTTCTCTTTGTCACTCAGGACCAGCCACCTCATCAGTGCAGTCCAGTCGTGAGCTGCGCATTGCTACTGCTCTGTTTCCGACTCTGAGCTTCCTGAACCACTCCTGTTGTCCAAACACCAGCCTGGCGTTCACCACTGGAACCTCAGCCAGTCCTGGCCCAGATCTGGCCAACGATTCCACAGAGAATGCAAATCATGGTGTAACAGCGACTATCAGAGCGGCTAAAGTGATCTCCTCTGGACAAGAGATCTTCCACTGCTATGGTAGAATATTACAAAACCAGTGTGTGATTAATTTACACCTTACTTACATTCCATTGTTTTAATAATTATCTGTCAGCACAAATTCATAATTCACAATATGTAAGGCATCAATCCTACAAAACAAACAAAACAACATTCACCAAAAAACAGATTGATTGCTAGAGGTATTCATCTTGCACTGGTGAATATATGACCGAAGACTTGTGTTCAAAGCAGTATTCTAATAGTTTCATCTTTTTATATATGTTCTAATAATAATCCCATATGGGAAAATCTGTAATGGTACAGATTTTAGATTTGCATACCTTCTTTGAAAAATGAAAAGGAAAGTAATAATGTTTACAAACCAATGCAAATTTTCATTTATCAAAAGTTGTCACAATTCTGTATCCAGTATCAATATTTTATGTAACCCAAGTTTTGTCCAAGTTCCTGGCCTGTCTTTACAAGCTTTACTGCTGTGGTAGTTGTTTTTGTGATTTGTCATAAGTTATATTTTGATATGGTGGTTTCTTTGATCCTCAGGTCCTCACAGCAGTCGGATGAAAACCCAGGAGCGCAGACGGCTCTTGTTCGAACAATACAATTTTCAGTGTCAGTGTGAGGCCTGTACTCTGCAGCAAGGCGAAAAGGAGCAGGCCGATGCTGAAGAAAATACCATTCTACATGAGGCTAAACTACAGTGTACCAAGTGCAAAACTGCTCTCGAAGTAGGTGGACAGAATTTTTTGCTCATTTGTCAAATCAAAAACAGAGGGTTCCTCATCATGTTGTTTGTTTCTGCTAAACTGTTTTCATGCAACCCATAATATCAATCAACTGTGAAAGAAGGAAATATTTATTTATATCTGTCAACAACTTCTAAGCTTTGATAAACTCCTTGGCACAATTAGATAGACCACTTGCTTTTTGAGACTGAAAAGTTTGATTGCTCGGCTATGGCTTTATATTATGTTTATTCTATGTGTAATATGAATGTTGTTTTTGTTTCATAAAGATCTAGGGGGATCTGAACAAAACTATTTTCTCTATTTTTCTTTGTTACATGTACAGAAAAGTAGTAAGGACAGAGAATCAGGTTTTGTCTGTTCAAAGTGCAGCCATTTTCTGTCAAGCTCTGAAGTGGACCAAAAACTGCAAGAAATCAGAGTGAACCTGGAGAGGGCAGTGCAACTCATGGAGAGAGATAAACCAGGTGTGAAGCAGAACTAAATATAAAACAGATGCTTTAAATGTATTGAATTGTTTTATTTTCACATTTCCAGATGAAGCCCTCAGACTGTTAAAACAAACCCAGGTGCATTGTGGGTGGATCCTTTCAGATATTCATCCACTGCAGGGAGAGCTGGAAGACGCTACAGCCAGAGCATTTGCTACAATGGGTAACAAACATTCAAATAATATAAGATACATACACATAGCCACTCTAATGTTGTGGAACTGATACATATTTTAATAATTGTCAATTACAAATCATTGACATGTGATTAGCTTAAAGTACAGAGCAGGACTTACTGTTTTTGGAAGGCGTAAATGGTAAAAATTAACTTGCTCTAGAAAGTGGGTATAATGTGTTGGTACTTACTTACATACAATGTCACTGTATGTGATCTTTATATAGACCACTGCACCACTGAAGTGAAAAGTGGAGTGAGTGGGTGAATTCTGTGAAGACATAAAAGCCGTATTAGTGAATGTGAATGTGTTATTGCTGTGTCATGGTGGACATTGTTATTTAGGCCAGTGAACGCATCCACTCAGCAGATAATTTTAGTCTTTTGGGGAAACTGCTGCTCAGTAATGCTTGTTTATCGTTTATCAGCAATTTCAACATTCAGGGTTTTATGAAAGCCTGGTTGTTTATGTGCTTTTCCATGTCAGTGGGGATGCATTGTTGTTCTCAAGTTATTTTGTGCAAAATGATTGAACTTTTGTCAGTTTGTGGAAGAAAACAGACAACATTTTTCCAAGAAATAAACAAAGACTCAGCACATAGAAATGTTTCATTGAATAGTCAAACATTCTGTACAGGTAAATTGAACCTCAAAGGTCTCTCGGTGTGAGTCAGCTGCCAAGTAATTTACAAAAAATAATAATGGTAAATGGTACATTTTTATTTGCCGCTTTTCCACCTTCAAGGAGCTCAAAGCACTTTACATCTAGGAACCACTCACCCATTCACACACACACTCATACACCAGTGTACGCAGACTCTGGGGGCAATATTGGTTACGTATTTTGCCCAAGGACACAAGGACAGCATTCATCTGTGGGAGCTGGAATTGCATCATCAACCTGTGGGTGAATGGATTTGACCGCTCAACCAATAATGTTTGTGTTGAGAGCAGGATTCAAACCACCAACCATCGAATCAGTGGGACAAACACTCCAGAGCTGAGCTACTGTCACCCCCAATAATAATAACAAAGCCCTTTGAGTTATACCCTTATATTAGGTTTTATCTACAGTCCATTTATCCACAATTTATTCAAGTGCCTTTTTCAAGAACCATTTTCTAACTGAGGTGGATTATGTCATGTAGCTTGCATTAGGCCTTATCTCACTTTGTAGAGATACTGTAATTTCTCATTATTTCTGACAGAGGGTCACATGCCAGTGTGCTCTATGGCAGTCACAAGCCTTTGTAAAAGAATTTGCAGTAGGAAGGGCATCTGAATTAGACTGCAGTACTTTTTTGTCTGTTATCTACAGGTGACTGGGGAAACGCGGCTGTCCATTTGGAGCGCAGCACAACAGTTATCGGTTCCCAGTTTGGAGAAGACAGCATTGAACTGGGACGACAGCTCTTCAAATTAACCCAGCTACACTTCAACGGGTAAGCAAGCATTGGACTGAGAGCCCCAGTAGTACACCAAAGTACCTCCTGCCTCTTCAGCCTCGTGTCAGTGTAGAAAACAACACACTCTTTGTCTTGTCATTTTCACTTTTCATTATTTTTCTTCCAGTGGTGCCAGAAGTGCAGCTCTCTCAGTCATTCCCAAGGTCAGGCGGCTGCTAAGGCTTCACTGTGGACCTGAGTGCGATGAATTACAGGAGCTGGGGGCCATGGAGCGCTGTCTGAGCCGCTAGTCTGTCACAAGTTTGTTTGGAAGTTTGGTACTGAATAAAATATCATGCTGCCACCACTGTCCCCGGTTTGATTCATCTATTTGGAGATAACAGCACTATTTTTGCCATTTATCAACTTGCAGCCTTGTGTAAACATTGAGATGTGGAGAAGATAAAAACGTAATGTGCTCAAATAAGACTACTGGCTACTTCAAAAGTAGAAGTTATTCAAATATGGCATACGAGTGATTGAAATAATTGCAAAAGAGTGAAACTTTTAATCAATTTGCAAACTCTATTTTTTTTGCCAACATTTGTTCTATTTATTGGGACTTCAAAATAAAATTAAGTGCAAATGATAGGTTTACATTAAAACTTATTAATATTGTGACTTTTTTCAGATTATTACTAAAAGTGTTAACAGTTTTCCTAGTTTTGGATAAGTCTTTATGTTTGGTTATACTTCATGTTGGACATGGATAGCAAGTGTAATATTTAGAAGTAATTCTATAACAGCTAACAACCATACTGTAAACAAGCATATAATTTAAACATTATTTGACAAATAACAAATGATTTTATAAAATTCACTTACATTTGGGATGGAATTTTGTGTATTGAAAACATAGATGGAGGAATTCCTGCTGAGAACGAATACTTATACTTTATTTATTTATGCATTTATTTATTTGACTGACACACTGATGCAAAACTGAATATTATTTACCAGTTACTATAGCTACTATGAAAACCTGTCATATGCCTTTTAATCGTTTATCTAATGCCTTCCATTTAATTCCTTTTAATTTCTTATTTTAATACGCATCACTTGAACATATTTGAGTGTTTATTTATTTATATTATTATTGCTTCTATGTGGTTGCATGTTAACAGTGGGCTATGGAAACTCCCTGACCTTTATGCGTCACAGTGTATCTATCAATAATTTCAATTTCATGCTCCAGCGATGCCCTCCCTCTTCCTCACCAGGTACTTCCAGGTTGCATGTACTCTGAAATAAACTTAATGCAGCGTGAGTTTGTTTGTCACCACGCTCTAATCTATTCTGTTGCTTGTACTGTAGTCCCATAAGAATTGACATATTAACAAGGCACCAATTAAGGAGCGTGTTTTATCGCGCTGTGTACAGTACATGCGTAAGAGCGCTCTTGCCTTTAGGTGGCAGCAGTCATTCACTACAAATTCAATTTCATGCCTCAGTAAATGGAAAGTGAATGCACAGGCGATTCTTGAGGCAATGCTGGACACAAGCAGCTGTAACTTTAACTTGGCTGCTGCTGGTCACTTAGTCATTAGGATGTTTTACAGTCATAAAAGTTAATTGGCCATAGTTTCAGAGTTACTGAAGTAGAAGTAAACAAACTAGTCTAAAATTGTTAAAGTAAAATTGGCAATTGGTTACTAAGTCTGAATATTTTTAATAGATTTTTTTTTTTTTCATTATGTGTTGACCAAATCCTTTCAAATTACATTTAATATAATCTGAAATCTAAAATGATATAAAATAGTGTTACCATGCGCAATATAAATTACAAAGGGACTGTGATTCTATGTGAGTTTGACTGTGAATGTCTGCTCATATTTTCAAAGACACGGAGACGTCCCTGTTAAGGTAAAGTCACTAAAACTGTGCTCCCAGTGGGACGTCCAACAGTGCTGGGGTTATCAACATGTGCGTGCGTGTGTGTGGGGGTGTGTGTGTATGTGTGTGTGTGTGTGTGTGTGTGTGTGTGGAGCGGAGCCAGACAGACAGACGGAGAGAGGTCATCTGCAGAGGCACCACAGGAACGCTAAAGGACAGGGTAAAGACTTCATGTTTAGAGGGACGTGTGGGAGGGGAATACCCAAACCACATACAGCTGAACAAGGCCAGAAAATAGCACTGCAGAAATTGAATATGAAGGTCAATTACCTCATAACCAGTCAAAAATGGCTTGAAATCAGTGAAATAGTGTATGCCACAAAAGCAGTTTTATTTAACTTAGTCAAAACTGCTCAAATCAGATTAATACTCAAGTCAATTTAAGCAAGGTTTTTCATTCATTTCTGCAGAACAAAATATCAACAACTTTTTATATAATTTGTCAAAGAAAATACTAACCTCTAATTAGCATATGTTATTATAATGGGCTTTGTTTTTCTACACTGTGTATCAAATTAGTCTGTTTACAAGAGAGTGGAAATAGACAGTCACCTGGGAACTGTCCAAGTCCTGAAAAACAGATGCCAGATTTTCTGGGCTTCCTGTGCTGTATCACGTTTTCCTCAGGTCAATGGGCTTTTGAGAGAGAGATAGAAATGTGCCTATGATACTCAAGGACACCTAATGCAACCTATAAAATGTATTGGACTTTACTATATTTCAAAATGATAAGACCAAAACCAACTGCAGGATGTGTTTTCACTTTACATAGATAAGGTAAAGAGCTAAATCTATAATAGCATATTTATTTAATGGTTATTTCTAGTGCTGGGTCTGCCATCTACTTTTCCCCTTGAAACTGAAATTGCTTGGCCTAGAATGTTCTTTAGTATGGCAATAAACATATCTATCTCCATGAAGACAAGCAGGCAACAGCAGCAGGTGAAATCTAGTATATCAAGGATTTCCAAATAAAAAATGTCAATAACTGCATAAACGCAAGATATATATATTTAACACCATGTATTATATTTAACCTTTCAGGCAAATGCAGTCATCCTGTAGGTCACAAACAGATGAAGGACCCTCCACTAGGAAAGTTACCTAGTGCACCTTTAAACATACAGCAGTTACAACTGTACAAATATGTTGCAATAAAATTACAGTGAGGAGTAAAAACTTTAAAAGTGTACTCAAATAAATCTAATGCGTGATAGACAGCTTTGTATTTAAAAGCTGCACACATTGCCAGGTAGCGGGACTCCCCTACAGGCTACAGGGAGTGTGACAAAGCATTGCATGGGTAACTCTATAGCTGTGTCCCGTGTGTTTGGGCTGCCTCCTGCCATTCACAGCTCTTTGCAGTGCCTCTGATCTCTGGTTTGTTGTCCGTATAGCTCTCAAAATGGCCCAGACCACAAATAAAGTGCAGCGTGTGTCAAGTGTCAGATTTCCTCCTCAGACAGACAGAGTTACTGGCAGCTGTGTGGAGTCGCCTCAAGCTCACAATTATTAACACTACAGGCTCCACTGCATGAATTATACACAGCTGTAACCATAACAATGACCTCTGAACTTTAGCCTGAGGGTGTGGCTCCCTAGGTAAAAATAGACATATAGAAAGCTCTAACTTACGATGAAATATGTTATGTGCAATTAAGTCAACATAAACAAAAGCTGAAGTTTGTATACACAATCTGAAACTCAATGAAACACTACAGGAGATCAACTTTTTTTTGCACCCAACCCAAAGCAAACAAACCTATTGTGATTTATTTACTAATACTAAATACATATAGAAAAAAATGTCTCAAGACCCAGTGCTACTACTATTAGATAAATATAAGAATATAACAATAAGTAGTTTAGCCCCTCAAAAATGTGTAGTATTCCTGGTTGTCTATAAATACTACTACTAGATGAATATAAGAATATAACAACAACACGTTTAGCCCCTCAAAAATGTGTAGTATTCCTGGTTGTCTATAAATACTACTACTAGATGAATATAAGAATATAACAACAACACGTTTAGCCCCTCAAAAATGTGTAGTATTCCTGGTTGTCTATAAATACTACTACTAGATGAATATAAGAATATAACAATAACAAGTTTAACCCCTCAAAAATGCATAGTATTCCTGGTTGTCTATAAATACTACTACTAGATGAACATAAGAATATAACAACAACAAGTTTAGCCCCTCAAAAATGTGTAGTATTTCTGGTTGTCTATAAATACTATGATATGGCTATTCCTCGTTTAAACACAGGTAAAACAGATTCAGTCAGTACTTATTGAAAAGTCAATTTACCAGTCCACTAAAATACAAAATGTACTTGAAGCTCTTGTGCACAACTATAAGATGTTCATTTATGAGCTAAAATCATTTCCCCAACTATTACAGACAATTGCTGCAATTTTCCCATTTTATTTTTATATGCCGCTGATAATACAAGCAGCCATTAACATTTACGGCAATGCCTCCCCTCGGCATGCTGGGAGCTCAAAGTCATTACCCAGTCAATGAGTCTAATCCCTAAGCCTGGGTCTTTCATCAGTGGCTCTCTCTCTCTCTTTCTGCAGAGGTCTCGTGTTTGCCCTTATGGATAATAGCTGCTTCCGGACGTCCTGGACACTGGAGCCCGTCTCTCCTCTCACTCCCTTCACACCCGCACCCATCTCGAACGCTTAGGTGTCTTCCTGGTCTTTAAGTGGCTCTGGTCCAAAGTGATTTCCTCTAACGCCTCCTTTCCTGCAAAGAGGACATCTGATACAGGATGGAGAGGGGGGCAAAGAGGGGGCAAATGGAGCTCTCAGCTGGGAAAGACTTGTGAATGCTGAGCTACATTAGCAGAAAAGATAAGAATAATATTTAAGCCAGTGTATTGTTACTGCTAAATATTACAGAGATGTCAGCAAAATATTAAATTCCAGATTATAATGATAAAAAAAATAAAGTTAATTGAAGCCATAGCAATTAAGAAATTAAATCTTTTGCACATCTTTTGAAAGTGAAAAAGTCCTTAAAATGCTGCGTATGAGCGGAAAGTGAAGATAATACATATTGGTGTTTTATAACATTTTAGTGAGACATCTCAAAGAAACATCAAAAACAGATCATACATAGCTGCAACAGAATTTGTGTATGGGTGTTTACTTGAAATGTCTCATATAACGAGAAATAGACTTTCTGGAGTTGTGTTTTGTTTCATTCACGCATGTTTGAGTAACCCTTTATTATTAGGCCGTCTACATCTCCAAAGCTCAAAATGCTCCATTCCAGCTTGTGATGTCATGAAGCGATAGTTTTCAAATTAACAAACTATGTTTACCTTTATTTCAGCAGAGATGAGCAATTCCAGGGCTGAAATCATCCATTTATTCAGTAAATATTGACAATTCCAGACC